AGCCATTAAAGGCAGAGAGTGAAATTCAGTGAATACACGTAGTTTACAGAGATGCTGTTTGAGAAACCAAAGTGATTTTGGAAAATTGCACAATATAAATCTATTCTAGTAGACCTCAACAATGGAATTATGATCAGTGGAAATGGCCATGACATGGGAGCTTTAACATGTTTATTAGAAGCAGCATATACAGTAGTTGAGTTTGGCGTCTAGGCTCGGCATCATCGCTCCATAGATATACATAGCACGATGAGTGATGATTAAATAACTAACCCCCCGAGCCTACAGGTGGAAGCTGGGGTGGGGGTGGGGCAGGCGAGCAGCAGCGACGTGGAAGTAGCTGCAGCAATAGCAGCAGCAAGCAATGCATGGAGAGAGATCTGGCAGGTTAAATAGAGCGGCGTATTAAGCAGACTCTGTTTGGTTGGTTGCAGAGTGGCAAGGGGCGTTATGTATGAGTGTAGCATAAGTGCTCGAGTTGACTGCCTGAACTAGCTCGCAGGCTTCGCCCCATTACATGCTCCTGGTATTGCAGGGGGACAAAAGGAACAGAAAACTAAAATTGAACCACAACAAAACCCACTGCTGTTCACCCTGAACACTATACATTCACCTTGATCCACCCTAAAGATTAGTTTTTGCCCAAAATACAATGGCTCAGAAAAACGTTTTCATTCTTTATAAGTAAAATGTCTAAAATGTACTTGGTGTGAAAGTGGCTAAAGTGTTCAAATTCAATCATTTCCATTTATTTAAGAAATGCAAATCTAGAGCCTTTCACTGAGCTTTACAATCATCATTAAAGTGGCTCTCCACGATTACTGGAAGAGGCTTTTAGGAAGCCAATGTTCATCTCCTGTGTATATTTTTAAACCGAGCGAGGATTGCTAATATCTCATTAAGGAGCAAGCCCTTTACACGGTGTCTCTAGTTTTGCCCTTTTTATGTCTCTAGTTTTGTCAGACATTAAATGAAGGGCCGGGTCTCTGTCCTTGAGCAACGTCACCAAAATAAGAGTTCTTGATTCCTCCAATCAAAGGTCCTTCTCTGAGAAAGAGAAGGACCTTTGATTGCGTCATGCTAAGAGACGTCTTTAGGATCCTCTGATTACAATGAAAACAGGAACAATCAATGGCAGTCGAGCTGGTAATGTGAAGAGCAACTTTAAGTGTGATTGAAACGGGGAAAGAGTTAATCACAGATAATTAACTTTTCCAGCTATTTGCCCTTCTCTTCTTGCCGACTTTACTCGTACATTTTGACATTTCACATTTTTCAGAACACTGGCTGCAAAATGGAAAACAAATCTTGATGTCAACTCTTTGAATTGGCAACAAAAAATAGTCCGTTTGAGGTTTTTTGTATGCTCTTGTGTCATGGATTGTGCAACATACACAGAAAACCACATCTTCCAACACAATGGGAACAGGGCATTGGAGCTGTTTGCAATGTTTTTCACCATCGCTGATTTATCCTCCCTGACGAAAAACAAAAGTTATAATATTTATGGTGTCATGGAAGGACGGCAACTTGACCTCCCCAATAAACGTTATTGTGCCGATGTGTTCTCTGTCTGCTTCCTGAGGGCAAACAAAGGCAGATTGAACCAGACTCGCAGCCAATATACTGTGAGAAACTTCAATCAGTTTGTGTCTTTGTGTGGAACCTGCATGCATGCCTCCATTTCTCTTATTATTATTCTACAGCAGGTTCTAGGTATAGCATACATTTTCGACTGGGGCTTAAGGGTAAATGAGCATCTACCAATCAGAGGGTCTCCGTTTCATCTCTAGCCCCTGCAGTCGAAGAATCCTCGGGCAAGATACTTAAAGAGGCCCTCTCCTGGAGTGTGTTATATAGGTTTTTGTAAATGGTCTTCAAAGGCTCAAATCCCAAAGTTCCCTCCAGAGAGAGTTTCCCTTCCACACCTGAAACGCCTCCATTGTTCGTTTCAGCAACATAATGACATCACTATGCGCCATTACTTGCTTGCGCTCCAACACATTATACTTGATAG